CTTACAGGAACCTCTCTCGAAGCCTTTTCCTGTGAAATCATTTTTTTCCTGATTCAGTTCAGTTATGTTTTTATGACTGATTCTGCTATTTAAATATATCACTGTGGTTTCTCTGCATCTCTCAGTTCTACATTTTTGGGATACATCTCAGCTTCCCATATTGTAAGTTCTTCTGAAAATAACATGTGGGCGTTTTTCCCGATCATCTTTTTCTTTTTCTCATTTTTCCTCTCACTCTTTCCACTTGCTCTCTTTCCTATATTTGGCTACAACTATTCAAGTCAACAACTGTTTATCGGGCGTACATTGTATGTCAGGCCTTGTGTTTAACACTGGGGACGCTATAATGGGAAAAGCAGACACGTGTCATGTTCTCATGTTGCTTTTAGAGTCTCAGGGAGACTCCGTCAAATTCTCAGTTGAAACATAAGCATGAGGAGTGGAACAGCAAATCCCGATTTTGATTTTAGAAAAAATGACATATTTTATGGTCTTAGGCTTCTATTAAGAATGAACAGGGTTATAAAAGTACATTGTAATATCTCTTTGAAATTTAATCACAGTGTTCTTATACTGAACATTTGGTATCATCAAAATACTGCTAATGACCTGTGTATTTTTTTTACCGGATTGGAAGCATCTGTTGGTTAATTTTTACAGACTTTCACAAAATGAATTAAACCGTACTAACAGGTTATTGGTGTTGGATTTATCAACTAAAATTAATATTAATTACTTTCATTTTTTACAAACTGTTAACTTAATAGGGATTAAAGGGCTTTCTGAAATTGTATGAATAGACTAATTCAGTTAGGCTGATTTATTATGAAAATGTGATTCCACAATTGTTAGCTTTCTGAAGTAATCACATTTTATAACAGGTGCATCCTATTTGCCAGATAGGGCCAATAAATTGGTTTATAAATATTTCTCAACTGAGCAGTTATGGCATATGGAAACAGTTAATGGATTACGCACTTAAAAACAAATCAGGCTTAGATTTCTGACATCATAGTTCAGTGGGCAAAGTACTGGGGTAGAGAGTGATTAAACTGTGGATTATCCCAGGGACTTGGCTGTGTGCAAGGTGTTGCTTTG